GCACCAAGTGTGTTGGACCACCTCTCTGAAGGCCCCAGTCCCCGGGAGGAGCACGTCCCGTCAGCCCACAGGCCCGCGGCCTTTCTGCGAGGACCGGGCTCGGGCGTGTTGGGCACAAGCTTCCTCGATGCCTCCCCGGGCGGCGCCGGCACACGCTGTGCTGCAGGGCGGTGGGGCAGGAGGCCGGTGCCGTGCGCACGCCGGGGGTTAGATGCATATTCCCTGGGAGGCTGTTCTCCGTGGCCAGGGGACAGGTGGGAGTGCTGGACGGGGGTCGGCGCAGTGTAGCCCAGCCCCGTGTTCTCCCCTAGCTGGTGTACATGGGCTTCGACGCGGTGGCGGCTGACGCCGCCCTGAGAGTGTTCAGGGGGAACGTGCAGCTGGCGGCCCAGACCCTGGCCCACAATGGGGGGAGTCTTCCTCCGGACCTGCAGCTCGCGGCCGAAGACGCTTCCTCCACGCCATCCACATCCCCTTCCGACTCTGCAGGTAGGTCTGGCTCTCAGAGCTGGGAGACTGGTGGGCCGCGTGCTAAGCAGGGGGCGGCCACGGGTGTGGCCAGGGCCCTGGGGACGGGGGTCAGCTCCGTCATTCTGTGGCGTGTCCTCCCTCTGTTCTCCCCCGTCAGTTGTGACCGCACTACTCCGTTGCAGGTACCTCTAGTGCCTCAACAGATGAAGATATGGAGACAGAAGCCGTCAATGAAATATTGGAAGATATTCCGGAACATGAAGAAGATTACCTTGACTCAACTCTGGAAGACGAAGAGATAATTATTGCAGAATACTTATCCTATGTAGAAAACATAAAGTCGGCAACAAGGAAAAACTGAATAATGAGCAGAAATACGTACTGAGTTTCTGCTTATAAATTCTATCATTATGAAAAGCCGAATGCAGGTCTTTTTTTCCTTCTTTGTATCTGATTTTGCTGCAGGAATGCTTCCTCCCTGGGTGTAGGAGGGGCAGCGGGGAGCAGGGGCTGCTCTGAGGGTGAGGCGGGCTGGGGAGGGACAGGTGCGGGTTCCTAACTGAGCCTGGGGAAGGCGCTGCCTCTGGCCTGGTCCTACTCCTCCTGGCAGCCTTCCGGCCTTCAGATGCTGCACCCCTAACCCGGTCTTCTCCTCTGCTTGGTTTCTTTTTACTGAGAAATGGGAAGGGCAGTTACTTCTGGAGCGTAGGTGGCCCCTGGGGAGGGTCTCCAGGAGGAGCTAATGGGGGGGGAAGCATCCATCCATCTCTTCACTTTGCCAGCTCTCCTGCCCCGCCGAGCTCACTGCTGGCTTCCCTGCCTCCTGTGCTGCAGCTCTGCCTGCCTGCTTTGGCCTCGCTGGCCCCTCCCTGACATGTCCTTTAAATCTTCAACCATTCCAAGCTCTCTGGGGGCTGAGGAGGAGGGATCAGCTACAGTAGCTGTACCAGACTGTGGCAGGCTGGACGTCTGTGTTCTACACGCTTAGTTTAGTAAAACGTGTATTTGAAATTCAAGGTTGAAGTGGAGAATTTATATCTCTTCAAAATTCTTTACAAAAATAAAATCTTTCATTAAATGGGGAAGTCTTAAATGCTAACCAAAGCAATTAATTTTTAATCAGCATTTCCAGCACTCTACTGTCATATGAAACTCTCTGCTCACTGAGATATCTATCCGAGATTAAGATCTATTTTCTCCAGGTTTGTGGGGGCTTTGGGGTATACCTGTGTCGCACTACTAATTTCTGAAGACGTAGTTAGCCTCTTAATGGCCCAAGTAAGCACTCCGACTGCGCCGAACATTGCTCGGGAGATGGGAGTGACATGAGAGCCGGGTCCAGCCCCAGGACACAGCCGGCAGCCCCAGTGTGCCAGATATGTCCCTGATCCTCCTCCTGTCCTCCAGAGGTCACTGGAAGCTTCTGTGATGGAGGGCAGGTGGCCCCGTTGCCAGCGCCAAGGGCCGGCTGAAATGCTGTGACTTTTTCCCTAATCCTTTTCATAAAGCCTGAACAGCAGCCCAGTTTGAATGGGTGGGAATCTTTTCTGTTGACTTTACAATGAAGGATACAAATGGGAAAAAAAGGTGGAAAACATACTCAAAAATCATCAGCCGGACTTCGCAGTAAGTTGCTCAAACTCCTCAAGTGTTCTAAGTAGGGAGCGCGCCTGGGCCGTCTCGATTCTTATTGAGATCCAGGGTGTTTGCTGCACGGAGTTCTGAGAAGAAATCACAGCTGGCTCTCATGAAGGATGAAACGTGGAAAGCAGATGGTGGGGAAGGAGCCCGCGCAGGAGGGGACAGGGTTTTGCGCCCTTGGTGTTGAAGTGGCTGACGATCGAGGTGATGAGGGGGTCTCTCTGGGACTGTGTCATCCTCGGATTTCGGGCCTGAATCGCAGCTTCTGGCTAACCAGTTACTGTCCTGGCCTTGGGCCAGGCATGGCTTCGAGCTCCCAGATGCGTTCTTAATGATCCTGGAAAGGCTAGAATGCAGAAGCTCACCAGCAGGGCTCTGACCTCGCTTCATGGGCTCCCGAAGAAACACCGAGAGGCCAGCTCTCACGTAAGGAAGGCTGCCTGTCCCGTGTTGGGAGGCAGGCTCTGGTCCTGGCTTTGCCTCCAGCTGCTGTGTGAAAGTAGGCAGTGACTGAGTGCCATTCCCGGCTCCGGAGGGCAGGAGAAGCAGCAAAGGGCATCCGTGATGAAAATGTCCCCAAGTAAACGGGACTGTGCTGAGGCTGGAGGAGTCCCAGAGGACATGGGCCTTGGAGGGGCTCTCCTTGGAGAGTCCGAGAAGAAAGGAGAACATCCCAGACCTGAGACCAATGAGGATGTAATAGTTGATATAGGACAGGCCAAGTGTGCCGTATCCATAAGGTCACGGCTGTTCTAGGTCCACCAGAGGGCGGGGTGGGGCAGAGGATGAGGCGGGAAGGACTGCCAGTCCAACTGCAGAGCCCTGAAAGGCAGGCAGGGGGTCAGGGCTGCAGCGGCCGGATACCCAGGCCCTCACAGGACCCGGAGCAGGAGTGAGACACCGGCGTCTGCACTCTTCACATCTGAAGTCGATCCCTCTCATGAAATTCCGTGAGCTCTTGGCTTTGGTGACCCTCTCCTGCCTGTTCCCTGCCCGTATGTGCCCCGCCTCCACCTCAATCCGGCCCTATTTATCAAGGGCAAAGAATACCTGGTCATCTGCTCTTAACATCGTCAACATCTAACAGAGCCTTGTGTGCTGGAGAAATAAAAATTACCCGAATGCACTCTGCTATATAAATACCAAAACAAAACAAAACAAAAAAAAACCACCAACCCCAACCCCCAGGGGCGCCTGGGTGGCTCAGTGGGTTAAAGTTTCTGCCTTCGGCTCAGGTCATGATCTCAGGGTCCTGGGATCGAGTCCCCCATCGGGCTCTCTGCTCAGCTGGGAGCCTGCTTCCCTCTCTCTCTGCCTGACTTTCTGCCTACTTGTGATCTCTGTCAAATAAATAAATAAAATCTTTAAAAACAAAAACAAAAAAACCCACCAGGTTTCCATTTCCTACTCTGTCCAGGGGAGGCAGGCGGGAGAACAGATCTCTAGCAGCTCCTGTGTCCGGATCCGCCCCGGGGCTCTTTCCCGGGTGTGTCCTAGCCCCTGTGTCTGTCTCTGTGGCGCTTGGAGGAGACGGATCAGAGGTGGCGGAGGGGCTACAGGAGAGGCAGGAACGTGCAGCGGCTGCGCGCGTCCGGGAGCGGCTGGTAAGTCCAGCCGCCCCTCTGCGGGCTCAGCGCAAATCCGGGCACCAGTACTGGAGGTGGTCCCGGTGCCGGCGCTCCCTGGGCTGCACTAGGCTCCCGGGCAGCAGCAGCTGTGGGCGCCGCAGGCCGGCCAGGCAGCCCCCGGCCCGCGCGAGGCCCAGCCCCAGGACGCTGCCGCGCCTGCTTCTCCCCCGCCAGCCTCCCTTCCTGGGGAGGCCCCCGCGTTCCCGGGGTGTGGCCTAGCGCGCAGTCACGAAGGTAGGCATCCCTTCCCACGGCCCCAGGTGCCCATCCCGTACCTATTCATGGCCCTGAGGAGGAGGGCCCCACCCGTCAGGCCTGGACCTGCACCCCCTCCCGGCGCGTGACGCAGACGCACTGGCTCTCGGTGAGCGCAGTGCACGACCCGCTCCTCCGCACCAGAGGCTCCGGGCCTCGGCCACATGCCGAGCCCTCGACCGCCGACGCCGCCCAGCGGCTTCTCCTCTCGCCCCCAGCCGAGGGCTGGCAGCGCGCCCCCTTCAGGTGACGAGGGGGCAGCTGGGGGCGGCTCCCCTCGGGGCCTCTCCGGAGCCCGGGCCCCACCTCCCCCAGGAAGCCCCTCCAGCAGCTCCGCTGAGGGATGGCCCACCCCTTCCCCGCGTACCGCACGGGCGCCCGCGCTGTGCACGTGGCCGGCAGGCGACTGCCCGAGCCTTTGGACCCCAGACCCAGACGGGGCGGCGGGGAGCCCTCCTCGGTTCAGGCCGACTTGGGGGCTTCAGAGCAGGGGTGACGGCTCCCCGATGTCACTCTCAGAGGCCGAAGGGCCTCTCCCGTGGCCACTCCCCATACGAGTGACAGTAGGGGTCATCGGGCCGCAGCCCCTCATTGCCCCCTCGAGGAGGGGCAGGCCCGGGCCGGGTGTGCGAAGCCCCTGTTCCGGGAACCCCTCCTCCCTCCGACGGGCCGCTGAGTTTGCAGAACAAAAGACATATTCCAGAGCGCGTGGAAGGACGTGTATTTCGGTTCTTCACCAGCGTCCTCAAGATAATCTGCCAAACTTAATGACAGCTGCTGCTGGGCGGCTTTTTGAAGAAATCCCATTTCCCCCCAGGACGGGCTTGGCTTCTGGGGACCTCAGGCCCTGGGGGCTGTGGGGCCGCAGACCCCGGGTCGGGAGGGTCCCGCTGGCCCAGGTGCAGACCCGAGTGCGGGGCCGCTCTTCGGGGGGTGGGGCCCGGCCTGGGGGCGGCAGGGACGGAGACGTGGTCCCCGAGGGCGAGCACGGTCGCCATCCACGGGACGGGAGGGGCTTCAGAATCCACGGACACCGAGGCCGGGCAGAGTCGGGGCGCTCAGGCGGGCTGCAGGGGCGCGGCGGCGCAGCCCACCTTGTTGCTGAAGAGGCGGGAACGGCTGCGCGCGGGGGCGGCGGGACGCGGCGGCGGCGCGCACGGGAGGCCGCGCACGTCCCAGAGGCGCAGCGCGCCGTCGTGCGACGCCGTGTACAGCACCTGTTCGTGCACCTGCGGGCGCGGGGCGGCGCGTGGGGCGGCGCTGCGGGGGCGCCCGGGCCGCCCTCCCCTCCGCAGGGCCCGCAGCTTCGCTCGTGGGCGCGAACGGCACCTACCTAAGCCGAGGGCCGGCGACCTCTCCGCCGGGGGAGCCCGGCCTCGGGGTGCGGCGGGCGGCCTTCCCTCCCCGCCGAGGCAGAGCCTGGGGGCGGCGCGAGCGCCTACCTGGATGCAGTTGATGACGAAGGCGTGGCCGCGGAACACCCTCTGCAGTGCTCCGGACTGGGCGTCGAAGGCGCGCGCGCGGGCGTCCCCGCTGCCCGTGAACACTGTGAACACAGGGCGCCGCTGGGCCTGGGCAGGGGTGCGGCGGGGCGGGCCCGGGCCTCTCCGCCCGCCGCACCGGGAGGTCATAAGGTTCAAATGGGAACTAGCGGGAGCTAGGAAGCTCCTTGCAAGGAAGGAGGCGGCACCTTCATTCTCCTGCTACGGGCCTGGGAACTCAGGGTACCACCCCCCTCCCCGTGCACTGCAGGACCGCGGCTGCCCTCTCCGGGGCTCCTGTCCCTCCTGAGTACCACCTCGGCCCAGGTGCCCTCGCTCAGACCGTTTGGTGGAAGCCTTTGGTGAGGCCTGCTTCCCTGCTCTAAAGCCACTGCCTTGGGATTGGGGGGAGGAAGTCATCTACCCCCCCCCCAACATCTGAGCTGCCTACTGGGACAAGGACCAACTAGAAATTCACTCCTTCCCCTCCTCAGTAATGAACTTGGCCCTCCAAACAGAGCCTAGACCCTCTGGCGTTCGCTAGAGCGCCCCTGCCCAACCTCTCCCCGTGAAGGGCCAGGATTCAGCCTTCCTTGTGCCTTTTCCTACGTCAGACTTAGTTCAAGAGTTCTCAGACTCTGGCGAGCACCTGAGTCACCTGGACTGGGGTTAAGGCAGATTGCTGAGCCCATCTGAGTTTCTGTCTTAGGAGGTCTGGGGCGGGGCCTGCGAGCCCGCTTGCCTAACCAGTTCCAGCCGCCGATGGTTCTGCCGGCCAGGGACCACACTGAGTACTGACCACAAGAACTCCGTTGTCTACTTATGGTCCCAGCCTGCATTCTCCCAGAAATGACCCTGACGCTAGGATTGGAGTTCAAGGACTTCATCTGGCCTAGCATTCCACGAAGTGGGTAGAGAAACAGGAAGGAAGGATGTCCATACAGGGGAGTTAGCAGGTGACTACAGGGGGGGCCCTCGGAGAAGGTGCAGACCACGTCTCAGAGCCGGACCCCTGGGGGGCAGGTCATTGGTTGAGGGCCTCTCTTGGGGGTGTCAGCTCCCAGCCCTCCTCCAACCTGCTCCTCACAGGAAAGCACTCTAGAGCAGAGAACCTGAGGGGTGGCAGAGAGAAGCGCCCCAGGTGTGGTCCCCACAGCATCTGCTGCACCCACCCAGCAGCCTGAGCAAGCCATGGGGGTCCCCAGCCTCAAGGATGTCTTCTCTACCCAGATTACTGCTTCACCTGCCTATTCCCAGCCTTGCTGCTGAAGCTACTGGTGAATGTGTCTCTAGAGGGTGAGTTTCCTTCCTGGGTCACTTCTGTTCCTTTCCTGCTTCCTCTACCCCAACCCACTGTGGCTGCTGGGTGTACAGTGGAGGGGAGGAGGGTCAGGAATTCAGTCCATCACCCCCTGCAGCCTGTTGGCAATGGCCACGGACCAGTTTCCTTAACAGTGGGCCGCAGGTGGGGTCCATCCCAGCTGCTGCCAAGGGGTGGCGCTCTGGGCGACTTTAATCTTTTTAAACCAGAGGTCCTGACTCCGGAGCAGAGCCAGAATCACACTTAACAGGCTTGGACCCAGGAAGAAGGAAAAAATAATTTTCCCGTGTCAGACACCTAAATCCCGAGGGTATCTCAAGCTCTATTTTCAGAGATCCACATTCTGTCTTCATCTAACACCCGTGCTGTGAAGTCAACTTGAATTTTGTGCTGCGTCTCTCCCCCACCCATCTGCTCCTTCAGTGTGAGTGTATGTGTGTGTGTGAGAGAGAGAGAGAGAGAGAGAGAGAGAGAGCGAGAACAGAGCAGGGACGGGGGGCCAATAGCAAAACGTAATGCTGGGCATTGTTTTGGGAAAGAGATGTTCAGGAACCTGGAAGCCCCACTCTCATGTAGGTATGGTGAGGTGTGTGTGGGGGGGGCGGGGGGTTGCTTCCTGGAGCAGTGTCTGTCTTCTGGATGTGTCTGGGGTGTGCACATGAGCCAGGCCTCAGGATAGAGCCAGCAAAGCTCAGGTGTGTCAGTTTGAGACCTGTGGGACAAAGAGCTTCTTGCCTATCCAATAAGCCATTCTGCCCTCTTTCTTTCAAAAATAACCTGATTAAAGTTGGCAGCAATATCCCCAGATAAGAGATTTTATTATTCAGTCTCTCTTTCAGGCAGCAAAGAGATGTATGCCAAGTCTTTGGGTAGGGCTTCCAAGAAAGATCTTTAAAGAGACCCACTCAGCTAAGAGACACATCGTTTTACCTTTCCTTCTTCTTCCTGTCTGCCTAAAACGTGATATGATGGCTGGAGCTTCAGCAGCTACCTTAAACTATGAGGCTCCCTAAAAGATAGAAGACGTGTGCTAAGAGCTATAAAGCAAAGTGATCAAAGGAAACTGGGTGCCCGGGAACTTTGTGGAACCATCCATTCCTGCCTGTACCGCCAGCATCAGAAATTCTACCTGAGAAAAATAAACCACTGTTTCATTCAAGGCACTGTTATCTGGGCTTTCTGTTATCTGTAGCCAAATGTAATGCCAGGTGAAGCCAAACCCACGTGGCCCTTCAGTCTGGCGGGAGTTAAGTGGTATCAGGGTCTCATTTGAATAATGAGAATGTGTCGGTGAGATGCTCTTAACCCTGGGGCTCCTAAGCATTTGGGCCGTAATTTGTAAATAACCCTGGGGCGGGGGCGCCTGGATGACTCAGTTGGTTAAGCGGCTGCACTCGGCTCAGGTCAGGATCCCAGGGTCCTCTCTGCTCAGGGGCGCCTGCTTCTCCCTCTCCCCCTGCTGCTCCCCCTGCTTGTGCTCTCTCGCTGCTGACCACCCCAAAGGGCCACTGAGGCTCAGGAGGAAAGAAGAAAGAAGTAGGGCGCAGAGGCCCCGAGCGCGGGAGGATCTGGTGGGGGCGAGGCATGAAGGGCGGAGGCAGCGCAGGCAGGTGGGGGCAGCGTGGGGCCAGCCTGGCCGGGAGTCACTTACAGGTGCCCGCGTGGTATCTGAGGGCGCTCACGCTGTGCCGGTGCGCCGCGAACGTGCGCACGCACTCGCCGGTGTCTGCCAGCCAGCACTTGACCGTCCTGTCGGCGCTGCCCGAGTACACGTGCCGGTTCACGAGCTGGGGGGAGGAGGAGGGAGGGCGGCGCTGGACCCGGGCTGCTACCGCAGCAGGTGACTCGGATCCCGCCCAGACCGCTCCGTGTGGTGGGGGAGGGGCGCGGGCCGGCTCACTGGGACATGCGGACGAGCGGGGAAGACCCTGCCGTGGGGACCCACCCAACGGCCCGTTCCAGCACCCGAGAATCCTGCCGCTTTGCCCTCGGCCACGGCCCCAACGGCCCCCCTGCACCGAGAGAGAAGCATCGTGTCAGAGCCTTCCCATGGCGGGCGGGAAGAAGGCCTGGGGGCGCTCGGCACTCTAGGAGCAAGGGCCACAGAATGTTCGTCCGTGTCGTTACTGTGGTCAGCGTCTCTTGTCCGCAGTTGCTGCTGAAGAACCCTCCGTGCCTGAAAGTTTCCTGGGAATCCGCCTGTAGCTAAGGCCCGGCCGCACTAGCGGTTCCCTTAATCGTCCCAGCGGAGAAAAGGGCTCCCGGGGCTGCCCTGGTGGGGAGGGAGGAGCCCCGGAGACAGGCTCCCCATGTCCCGCCTGCCCCAGCTGACCAGAGTGGCTTTCACACCCCTGCTCAGTGTCACAGGAGAGAAGGCAAAGGCCTGGGAGAGAAGGGATGGGGCGTGGGAGGCCCCTTGCAGGAGCTCCCCTGGCCCCGATAGACAGTGTCCGAGCCCAAGGGAAGGGCAACGACTACTAAAATAATTCTGCAGGTTCATCTAGACCAAATCCCGGCAGCCAAGAGAGTCCCCACCCAGCCCCTCTGGTTAGCAGCGAAGCAGAGGAGAACCGGAAGCCGGGCAAGGAGGGTGGCTGGGAGCCCTGGAGAGAGCCATTTGTGCCAGTGCTGGGGCCCAGGGACCCCTGAAGGCTTAGGAAAGAGGAGGCCCTTCAGCTGGGGCACCAGGCGGCAGGCCTGGAGCGAGCACAGACTGGCCCCCGGCATCCTTACCATGGCCCACGCCTTCCTACCTCGAGCACACACCCGCCCAGCGACAGCCACACTCTGGGCCCCTTTCCACTCCAGTGCCCGCGGCTGCCCCAGGTTCCCCCTATAAGTTCCTGGAGGACAGGGCTCTGACCAGTCCAGATTATATTCCCACCCCAGCCACAGCCCAGGTCAGACTTGACTTTAGGCCATTCACTACGGCAGAGGCGGTGGGATCTCGGGTAACACGTATGGCCTCCTGCCCCTGTGTGTCCTGACCATCCCCAACAGCCGTCACTTCAGAGGCAGCCCCAAAGCCTCCAGGGACCACGCTTCCCCAACTGCCCACTGAGACCCACGGACCTGAAATTAAGGGAGCTGGTGAGTGTGGCCTGTGGGCTGGAGGTCCTCGTGGGCCCCTAGGCCTCTCTGTGCCACTGAGTCCCCGCAAGGGGGGCCCTAAGCTTCCATGGCGGCTGTGGCAAAGGGATGATGCCTCCTGCTCACCACACAGTATGTCCCAAGAATGTGGGGCCTGTCGCACTGTGTTTACAAGTGACCAAGAAGCTCCATTTCAAAAGTACAAATCACGAGTCCAGAGCCCCAGGAAACGCTCCAAGCGTGTTGTCCTTGGCTGCCTAAGACCTCACTGTTCACTTTGGCTGCCTTCCTGCGAGGACGTCCACGGGGAACAGCCGGGCAGCTTGGGGAAGCCAGAGGAGGCCCGAGGCACATGGGGAAGCACACAGACCCTGATGGGGGCATGTCACAGAGGACAGGACCTGCAAGACTTCCCTCAGCCAAGACAGCTTTGGGGGGACGGGGCTCAGGGGCCATCTCCCTGCTGTGCGATCCGTCCAAGCAGGCCTGGGCCTCTGCTGTGGAGGCCCCTGGGGCTCGGGCCTCTCTCTGCTCAGCTTCCGGCCGTGGATGCTCTCGGGGCAGGGGAATGAAGCTGCTGGGCCAGGCTGCAGAGCACAGATGGGCTCCGGACATCCCGCCTCGGGGGAGAGACTGCCGGAGGGGTTCCCCCAGCCCAGCAGGGTGCAGGCCCCATCACACCTTTCTATGCTGCCCCTCACCAGCTGTGAGGCCTTGGACAAGTTGCTCACCCCCTCTGAGCCTCTCACGTGTACAATGAGCACATACAAGCACAGGCAGCATCTGCTGGATGGCCAACCACAGCGCAAGCTACCAGGCACCCGAGGGGCTCACATCTGGGTCACACCCACTGCTGGTCCGTGGAGCCCTCACAACCACCAGGGGTGGGCCCGATTTCACGCTCAGAATCCCTGATCCAAAACCTTGGAGGCAGATGTATTTCAGGAGTTTTGGGATTTGAGCAACACACTCGTGTTCCTACAGCAAAGGAATGCCTAGTCCCAGGAAATGGGGTCAAGTGAGCTCCAGCGAGCTTCCTATCTGTGCGGGCCAGGCTTCGCCGCCAAGGACGTTTTTGTGCCAAGCCTTAAAAAAAACCCAACTTCATGTTGTAGAACTTTTGGATTGAGGAATGAGGGACCAGTGTTTCTGGGTAGACATAACCTTCCCTTAACACGTAAAGAAACCAGAATTCCTATGTTGACAACAGCGGTGACCCTCGTATTTGTGAGGGCGGTGTATTCGGAGACAGGGTCTCTAAGGACGTAGTTAAGTTAAAATGAGGTCACAGGGGTGGGACCTAATCCATAGGACTGGAGTCCCTATAGGAAGAGGACACCTGGATGCAGAGGGACGACGCCGTGAGAAGACGTCCAGCTACACGCCGACCCCTGGATCTCAGACTTGCAGCCCCAGAGCGGTGAGACATCTGTCCCGGTCATGGACACTGTCCCTGACTGAGTACTCTGTTCCTCGGCCCAAGCTAACTAGGACTCGGGGGCGGGTGGTGGCTCAGAAGGCGACCCGGGGGCCTCCCTGGCAGACAGGCAAGGGCCAGGCGGATCTCACCTCCAGACAGATGACAGAGCCCTGGTGCTCCCTGAACACCCGCAGCTGCTCCCCGCTCAGGATGTCCCAGGCGCGGATTGTGGCGTCAGTGCTGCCGGTGAAGGCGGTGTGACTGGGCGTGTCCAGCACAAGGCAGAGCACAGCTCCCGTGTGGCCCCGCAGCGTCTGGTGGCAGCAGCCGCTAGCCACCTGCCACACCTTGGCCGTGCCATCTGTGCTGCCCGTCACCAGGAGCCCCCCAACCTCCTCGGTGCAGGGAGCCCCGGGCAGGTCCCAGGGCGCGGAGTAGGCTAGGGTCAGCACGCAGTTGCGGTGGCCTCGGAACTCCTGGGCCACCTGTCCCTTGTCCACGCTCCAGGCTCGAGCTGTGCGGTCGTAGGAGCTGCTGAAGAGCTGGTTGTTGGCGACCAGGATCCTGGTGGGAACAGGGAGAGGGCAGAGGTCAGAGCATGCAGGGCTAAGGGCAGGGTCAGAGCACAGGGGTAAGAGGCAGGGGTCAGAGCACGCAGGGGTAAGGGGCAGGGGTCAAACTTCGCAGGGGTAGGGGCAGGGGTCAGACCACACAGGGGTGCCTAACAGGCCGTCAGGAGGGCCCTTTGTCTGGTGTCCTCTGTGTTCAGTGAGCCGGGAGAACCTCGTGTGGGCGGAGCGGAGCTCTGTTTGCACCCATGGGGAGAGGAGAGGCCTCCCGGGCAGCAAATACTCATGACTTTAGTCTCACTTCGATGAATACTAAGAACTTCTTCCCAGGAAATACACGTTTGTCTTCACTATAGAACTTTGCTTAACATCAAAGTCTGTTCACACACCCCTGTTAAGAAGCCCTGAGTCCCCCGCCCTCTGGCCCCCCAGGAGCCCACAAAGAGGTGGGGCAGCTGCACCGGGCATGTGTCATAAGTGTGGGGACAGAGCAGTCAATTCCCTGGGCACAGGTTACTCAGTAATGCAATCCAGCAGCTAAGCAAGACTTAGCGTCTACCCAGATCGGTCCATTTGGGACCCCGACCCCTCAGATGTGGGGCGCGTGGACGTGTGTGTATGGGGCGTGTGTGCCCAGGAGAGTTGCAACCCCGCAGAGCATAATTTCTGGCCTCAATTACCCAGGTTTGTTTTTGAGGAGCAGCTGAGAGTTTCCGGTTACAAGCTGGGCACACGCCTATCCCCTGAGATGCGGCCTCTCCCCGCCGCCCCGTCTCATGGCACGAGACTCCCACATACCCACACCTTCCCCCAGTCACACGCTTTCTCAAGGAAGGGTGTCGGGAAGCGACCAGCAGGAGGTGGGACGTCCTGCACCCCCTCGTGGGCTCGCCCCTGGAGGCGGGTGGGACCCGGCGGGCTCCAGCTAAAGAGGCCGGGGGAAAAGCTTGGCTGTGGGAAGGTGACCTTGTCCCCTCACAGGCGTTCCGAGCCAGCACAACACTTGCGTCTCTGTGGAGGGTCGGTACCTTGCTCCTGCCCTATGGGTGCACAGCTCTGACTGCAGGTGGGCAGGTGCCCAGACCCCTGGTCATACCGGACACTCCCTCGGGAGTCTAAGACGGCCACCGCAAGTTACATAAATAGCGTCAAATTGATCTGATTAGCAAAGGAATTTTCATGGCTCAGCTCAGACCCAAATTTAATAAGGAAAGGAAAAATTCAAACGTTTTTGAGAAGGATGGGGTGGGAAATTTCAACGACAACACGGAAAGGGGACGTTTAAAAATACCCTGCACTCCGTCTTCACAACAACCCCGTCTGGTTGACCATCAGGTACTAATTAGGCCACTTCCTCTGGAATCTGCTCCCATCAGTAGGAGCTGTGGCCTCCATCGCTTTTCCCTGGGCCTAGCAGTGGGCAGTGCGCTGCCCGGGTCCCCAAGGGGGGCATCCAGGCACAATCAACGTGTTGGTGGGGCCTCCCTTCCCCAGCCGCTGCCTGCGGAACCCCCACATGCAGCCCATGTCGTGCCTGAAGCACATGCGTCCAGGGACGCCCATCCTCTGTGCTCCTGACGACCTCGGATGCGTCTGCACATAGTCTTCCCCAGAGAAGCTAAGTTCCTCCAGCAGCAGGGGCCACACGGCCTCCCTCTCTGTCCCCTGGACACCTCCCCCCCCCCCCGCCACACTGACCTGTTCACGATGGACGTGTGTCCTCGGAAGACCTGCAGACACTGCCCGGTGCGCACGTCCCACTTTCTGATGGTGTGGTCAGCGCTGCACGTGAAGGCAGCCTCGTCCTCCAGCTGGCAGAAGGTCACGTAGCTCTCGTGCCCTGCGGACGAGGGGACACGTGAGCGCGGGGCATGGCAGCTTTAGTCTCCCTTCCGCGAAGAAAGCAGGGCTGGGGCGTGTTTGAGACGAGCTCAGGATCACCAGCCCTTCGAAGGGGCAACTTCAGTCTGGGAGGCTCAGGAGATGTGGGCTGCCGGGAGAAATTCAGGGGGCCCCTCTCTCTGACCCCCCAGGTCCTCTTGTTCTCTCTTTTCCCATTCTTTCTCCCTCCTCTTCCTCCTTCCCCCTTTTCCGTCAGTCTGTCTCCAGACTCTTCCGCTGTTTGTATTCACTCAGTGGTTGAACAAAGCCACTGTCCCTGTCACCGAGGCAGGAAGTACCGAAGCCCAGGGCCTTGGCCTTCGGGGCCAGACGCCCGGCCTAGCTCTGGGTGCTGCCACTGAGTCACCTCTGCACGTCCCCGTCTCGTGGGGCAGGCGCGCAGACTGGGTGAATGCCGGATGGTGGCCGTTTGCGGCCAGGGTGATGCAGGGTCCACGCGGGGCCTGTGTCGGGAGGGGAGGGGAGAAGAGCCGGGGGGAAGACGGCCCACGCCAAAGCAGGAGGGAACCCCTCTGGCCGGAATTTAGGTGTTTGGCAGAAATGGTGGATAAGGCTCAGGCATAGTGAGGGTGGAGGTCTGGGGACAAACGGAGGGCCTCACGGAGCTGCGGCTCAGCCAAAGGCATCTGCTCGTCCACCTTGTCGGGGCGATGATCGGTGTTCTGACTTCCAGCCTGGCTTATAAAGCAGCCCCGGAAGGACTCCGCTCCCAGTCAGAGCAGGGCCTGTCCTCATACACCCGGCTCTGTCTCAGGGCCGGCCGGCTGGCCCGCTCAGCGGAGCCTGTGACTTTGATCTTGGGGTCGTGAGCTGGAGCCCCATGTTGGTTATAGAGTTTACTTAAAAAACAACAACAAAATCCTTTAAAGTCCTGCATGATAAAATCTAAATCTGTTTAGAATCTAAGATCAGCATTTTTGGGTCAGACAGGCCCATATATGCAAAGATTCTCTATGCCTGAACTAGTTCTACACCTGCACGGACTCCTATGCATGTTAAAAAAAATGTTTCCACCTCAGATAACTTTTTTTTTTAAGATTTTTTTTTTTTTAATTTGTCAGAGAGAGAGGGAGAGAGAGCAAGCACAGGCAGACAGAATGGCAGGCAGAGACAGAGGGAGAAGCAGGCTCCCCGCCAAGCAAGGAGCCTGATGTGGGACTCGATCCCAGGACGCTGGGATCATGACCTGAGCCGAAGGCAGCTGCTTAACCAACTGAGCCACCCAGGCGTCCCTCAGATAACTTTTTAAAAAAATTTTATTTATTCATTTGACAGAGAGAGATAGAGAGAGCACACAAGCAGAGCGGCAGGCAGAGAGACGGGGGGAAGTAGGCTTCCACTGAGCAGGGAGCCTGAGGCAGGACTCGATCCAGGGACCTTAGGATAATGACCTGAGCCGAAGGCAGACAGTTAACTGACTGAGCCACCCAGACACCCCAATAACAACCTTTTATTCCCCTGATAACGAGACCTGATAGCAAACTGAAGCTGAGTATATTTGAAAAGAATCCAGAAACCAGGGGTGCCTGGGAGGCTCAGTAGGTTAAGCGACTGCCTTCGGCTCTGGTCATGGTGCTGCAGTCCCAGGATCCAGTCCCACATCGGGCTCCCAGCCCCACAGCGCGTCTGCTTCTCCCTCTGGCCTTCTCTCCTCTCATGCTTTCTCTCTCAAATAAATAAATAAAATCTTAAAAAAAAAAAAAAAAAAGGATCCAGCAACCAGAAAATCAATAGAATCAAAGGAATGTTATACCTAAGATCCATTTCACAGATGAGGAAATTGATTAATTCAAATATCTACATGTGTGGGATATATGAATTACGTTAAAGATCACAACTGAATTTTAAAATTCTGTCTAGATATCTGGTATCAGACAAGGATTTTTTTTTTGAAAGCTTTTATTTATTTATTTAACAGAGAGAGCGAGAGAGAGAGAGAGAGAGAGTACATAAGCAGAGTGGGCAGCAGAGGGAGAGGGGGAAGCAGGGTCCCCACCGAGCAGGGAGCCCGATGTGGGGCTCGATCCAAGGACCCTAGGATCATGAAGAGCTGAAAGCGGACGCTTAACTGGCTGAGCCACCCAGGCACCCCCAGACAGGGATTTAGAATCTTCTGGGCAGTTTCCAGCTGATGGGCAATTTTTGGCCCTGGGGTTTTAGCTCAGTTTACTTTTGGAAGAACCCAACTCCCTGCGTTCTAAGAAAGAGAATTTTTTAAAAAAAGGAAGGAAGACATGTTTTCCAGTCTTCTTGGAGAGCATGTACCAGGCCTCTAAGAAAACAACGTTTGTGCGAAGCAAGTAAACACTGGGAGATGACGCAGATTAGGTTTCCTTAAAATACACGTCAGTTTAAAAGTCAAGGGCAAAATGTTTGGCAAAACACAGCCCAGCTTTTTGCCAATCCCAAAATGTTTATGAAATATTTTAAGATTGTCAACAAACTACCCTGAAACCAGAGCTGCCATGGGGGTGCTCAGCGGCGTCTGAGGAGGCCCCTGGCTTCCAGGGCTGGAAGGTGGCCCGGCGCCCCGAGGGCAGTGGGGTGCAGCGGAGCCGGCCCTGCACACAGCCCCCCGTAGTCCTCCTCCGGGGGCGGGGCTGCACTGTCGGGGGACAGCCAAGCCAGGAGAGGCGTCCGCAGGGGCATGGGCCGCCTCCTGGCTGCTTCTGTCCCTACTCGACAGAGTCTGACAGCAGGAAGGCGACCTGCCATGTGTGTATATAAGGCCAAGAAAAGCACTGGAAAGCCGAGTGGCCAGTAAGCCGTGGCACCCGTCCTCAGCGAAGCCACAGCCACTAGCCCAGGGATGTGGACCAACTGCATGACCCACGCAAGGAGGAGGAACGATGTATACGATACAAATATAAATACCTGTAGGGGACCTGGGGGGCGCAGCGGGTTAAGGGGTGACTCGGTTTCAGCTCACGTTGTGATCTCAGGGTCGAGGGACGGAGCCTCACGTCGGGCTCGGTGCTGAGCATGGAGTCTGCTTGGGATTCTCTCTCCCCCTTCCCCTCCCCCCACCCCTCTCTAAAATAAATAAAACTTTAAATATATATACATACACAGAGACATGTATAAAAATACCTATAAACAAAGACTTGAAGAGTCAATAATGAAAAGAATTTTTGCAATGTAAAAAAAAAAAAATCCCATCTCTGAAGCTGGGCCAGGCTGATCCTCTGCCCCTCGGGGGCCAGCCCAGGGCTGGTTGACATTCCGTGCAGCAGTCAAGGGCCTCCCAGGGACAAGCCCCTTCCTCTGCATGCCGGGCACCGACTCCGTGTCTGAAAACCCACGCTGAACGAGCCCCGGCTCAGAGCCCAGCCGGCAGAGGCTGCAGAGCGTGTCCCTGACCGCAGTCTGCAGACCGTGCAACGGGGTCCACTGCACACAGCCAACAGGGTCCCCCGGGGAGGGACGGATGAGGGAGGCTGGGGACAAGGGGGGGCGGCCCATCCCGTCTCCAGGGACCACAGCACCACCACCGTGAGCTGTTGGAATTGGGTAGAATAAGCAAAAAAAGCCCAACTAAAAATAAACATTTTTGAAGGGAGAAAGAATGCAGATAAGATGCAGTTACTATGTTCAAAAGGACATGCTGAGGCTCAAGGTTTTCTGCCAAGTCGGCCCTCCCCGCCTCCCCGGCCGCACACCCTGGGACTCGCTAGAAGCTGGGGGTCGAAGCGCCCCTCCACATGCTGGAGGAGCCACTGGGCCACGGGCCTCCTGTGGTCTGCAGCCGCAGAGGTGGGCTGCCATGGGCACCGGCCAAGCTGGAACACTCGTTCGACTAACTTGGCATGAAGAGCGTGGCCTCTTTTCCCTCTGCTGTCCCTCTCCTCTTCTCCAGCCTGTTCCCTGTGGCACCCCCACTCCCTGGGGGCTCCCTGACAACCCCACCCCCCCACTGCCTGCTGGGTTCAGACAGCTGGGAGCCCCGCAGGAGACCTGGGTCAGGATCTGCCGGCCCACAGCCATTAAAACCTCAAACCTTGGTCACACTTCCCTGGAGGGAGGCCTCTCCACAGCCATTTCCGGGCTGCCGGGAAGGCTCCGGGCCCGGCTCCTCCAGGTCTGGGAGCCCTGAGAGCCCCGTGGGTACCAGCCATGGATCTGGGGGATCCCCTACACCGTGCCCACCTTTGGCAAGGGTCTTTTTTTATCAACCTGGCCTTGAGCTACTGTGTTGAGGTGCCGTTTTTGTTTCCTGCCTGGTGGAACTGTATCTGGGTGTGTGACATCAGCAAGCCACAGCAGCGAAGGCCACATGTCCCGCGCGTGGAAGGTGTGGCTGAGATTGTGTCTGACAAAGCCACGGGAGACTCAGCCTCCTGCCCCAAGCTCCCAGCCAGGACAGGAGGAAGCTCCTGTGGCTGGTGCCACCGCAGGGCCTGTCCTTCCAATCCCGCTCCTCTCAGCCCACACCCTCCACCAGGCAGCTCTCCGGCCTCCTTCTGTGACCTCCTCAGTGGACACCCACGGGGAGCTCACTACCTGCAGATGCTGGCCGCTGGAGAGCTGAAGAATGAATGACCCGCCTGTGCTTCCGTCAGCCACATCCATGCTTAAAACAAACTGCATTTTGGAGTGCCCGGGGGGCTCAGTCGGTTAAGCGATTGCCTTTGGCTCAGGTCATGATTCCAGGGTCCTGGGATCGAGCCCCATGTCAGGCTCCCTGTTAATCAGGAAATCCGCTTGCCCCTTTCTTTCCCTCCGTCTCTTCCCGGCTTATGTGTGTTCTCCCTCTCTCTCAAATAAATAAATAAAATCTTTGAAAAAAAAAATACGTAGATGACTCAGCAAGCCCACTTCTGGGTCTCTACAAAAGAAACAGAAGACGGGGCCTGGAAGAGGTATTTGCACACCCAAGCTCATGGCGGCATTTCTCACATCATGTGGAAGAAACCCAAGTGTCTGCGGACAGATGAATGGGCAAAAAGAGGCAGACAGCAGACCAGTACGCAGCCTTCCAAAGGAAGGTCCCCAGAGCACTCAGATTCAGAGGCAGAACGCAGGATGGTGGGCGCCAAGGCCTGGGGTGGGAGAAAGGGGTTATTGTTTGAAGTGGACACCATCTCAGTTTTCCAGGATAGATAAGTTCTAGAGATGGGCCTTGGTAATGGCAGAAGTTTATCAATGTTTACTATCTTCAAACGGTACACTTAAAACCGGTTAAGATGGCCAATTTGATGCTACATGTTTTCTATTAGAGTTAATACTGTCCTGGAGCAAGAGGGAGGAGGGCAGGCTCCCTCCAGAGCCTCTCTGCCCACGTAAACACGGGAGGACTAGTTAGCCCTTCCCAGCCTTGAATGGCAGAATCAGGCCTCAGGAGCAAAGGACGAAGAGTTTGGGGCTGGCCGGGCACCGCGTCAAGGAGATGCTCTGGCTCAGGCTGGGCTTATTGATGTGAGCCTGGAAGACAAGGTCACTAACAGGAGCCAGGAGCTCTTTACTGACCAGTTTTCCCATCCCCCCCATAACCTCATAAGACTGGGTGACTATTTTATCATCCCAATTCACAGATAAAGAAACTAAGGCATGAAAAGATAAGTAATGAGATTTGAGCCCAAGCCACCCAGCTCCAGAGCCCGGGCTCACGACTAGTAATGTCCTGTCCTGCCTCCCTGCCCCCTCCCCATGGCGGGTAGGGGTCAGGGGTCATCAAGATGGGCAGGCACCAGCAGGCTTCCTGCAAACAGGAGGGTGCCGTTTGTTCCCGTGGAATTAAAAACAAACAGCCCCCATCATGCTAGGAGATGCTGCTAGAAGACAAGGACGCTTGTGGCACAGCCGCGGAGGGCTGGAACCTTCAGGCCGGGTCCCTTACGACATGAGAACAGCTCAGGATGGGGACGGTCATCTTGGGACATGCTGCTTATCTCACTGAGCCAACGGAGTGCCCTGAATGACTGGTACCCGACGGATAAGGAAAAAAGGGGGAGAGGATAACTCCATAAAATGTGACTCTTCCCTTTACAGAATAATTGGGCCATAAGCCTATAGGTGAAAGCCAGTCCCAATGACTGAAAAGAGAGAGCCCCCGAGAGAGGGAAGCTGGGGGGCCCTCATGACTCAGCCTGCTCCCCAGGACCAAGGGTGACAACTTGCCCACCGAGACCCCACACACAAGGGACTGTCCTATTCTTCCTTTCCAGCACATCCCTTGGCGTAAACTTTCAAAATGCTGCAAGATTCACAGAAAAGCCTTGGGTCCCCCAACTGCCGCTGGCCCCCTGGGGGAGCTGAGCAGAGCAAGAAGCTCGAGGGCAGAAGGAGAATGCCCGGTAGGAGCTGCCCACACCAGCCACGCTGCCCCAGAAATCCAGGCTTGGTCCCCCGCCAACAGGCTCTTCTCCAGAACCTTCTTAGGGGCCCAGAGCTGCAGCAGGCGCTGGCACTCACCCCAATCTGGAAGTTTCCACAACAGGAGTAGAAAGAGCCTGGAGTGGGGGGTCAGGAGAGCCCCCGGATCTGTAGGTTGTCCTGATGCAAGCCGGAGCCGCACAGAGGGGGGACCTGTCCACGCGGTCCCGCAGTGTGCCCTCAGGCCAAGTCCCATGACGGCTTCGTCCCAGGGCAGGCAGACAACAGAACCTACCTCACAGGCTAGGTTATCTAGAAAACACTTCAAACGCTCCGTGTGCCGGTAAACAGATCTGTGCCTGCCCAGTCCCATCTATAGACCTGTGTCGGTTCTACCCACATCACGGTTTTGAGCATTAATTATAAAGGATAAAGAAGTAAGTGTATTGAGGAATATTAATAAAATATAGGATATTAAACAAATGCTAAGACATTGGTTATTATTTCACTAATACAAACCAATCCTATTGGGGTCACAGAGCTGGCAAGACCTTGCTTTCCTTGGGGGCCACGCAAGGAGTATCTCGTGCCCCAAAAGACTCTTTTTCAAGTTGAGTGTAATAGTGCGATTTCCAGATAAGGAAACCCTTACAGCCCCAGAAGCAATTCTGATAGACACGAGCAGCAGTGATTCATCTGATAGTTTTCCTTGGAGTGGGATGGCTCTCAAGCAGGCCACCAGAGGGGCAGGCACCGCCTCACCAGGACGTGGGGGTTGGTGTCCTGAGGGGACAAGACACTGTGAGGGCTACCGAAGTGGGTGGAGGGGGAGTTGCCAGGCATGAGCTGGGAGGTGATGGCAGAGCAGGGCTGGACAGGAGGGTGGGCTCTGGAGATGCCCTGGGTGCAGAGTCCCATGCCCTGGGCAGAACCACCCTGGAAGAGCGGGGAGCTCGACTTGGGAGGTCACCCACCTTCGAACTAGGCTCCCACACTGGACACCAGGCCCGGGAGCTCCCCGGGGTCAGGGTGCATCAGATCCAGCCAAAAGCTTGTTAGAAACGCAAATTCTAGAGTTCACACCCTACCCCGCACGCGCGCGCTCAGCCGCTCGCACACAGGGCCCTCACTGGAACTGGGATCTGGGAATTTATGTTTCTGAAAGCCCTCCAGATGAGTCTTATGTTTGGAAAAGCACTACAACTGGATTATAAATTTTGGACAGATCTTAGATCTCCTAGCCTCAGTTCAGTGCCTGTCAATCTGTGTGACATTGGGAGTGACTTTGGGGGTGGCCAGAGGAATATGTGTTAGTTTGTAACTGACTCTCCCTTATCACCCCCGACCGCAAGTAACAGCCAATCCAAATTCATCTCCGGGCTGTGAAATATCCACCATAACTGCTTTTATTTAAAAGCAATAGGGTCAGGGTGCCTGGTGGCTCCAGTGTCTGCCTTGGCTCAGGTCATAATCCCAGACTCCCAGCTCAGTGGGGAACCTACTTCTCTTTCTCCTCCCCTTGCTTGTGCTCTCTCTCTGTCAAATAAGTAAATAAAATATTTTAAAAAAATAAAAAATAAAACCAATCGAGTCAGTTTCAGCCAATAGTGAAGCTGATTTGTACTCCCTGTGCCTACAGGACTTGGAAGGCCTGGGGAGGCCACCCAGGATTTGCTGATTGTGGTGGAAAAAAACCAGGCGGTGATAAATAACCACGTGCAGAACCTTGTGCTCCAAGGGGCTGTACCCACTGCTCAGGGGACACCAGGGGCCGAGCTGGAGCGGGGACTCACAGCCCTGGCCTGCAGACATGTGACAGGGACCCAGGGTATGAAAGCCGTCCACCTCCAGTGACTATACACAAATATAAACCCGTATGTAGGCACTTGTGAAATTTTCATAAAACAGTATGTATGTCGGGTCACCTGGGTGGCTCAGCCTGCCTTTGGCTCAGGTCATGATCCCAGAGTCCTGGGATGGAGCCCCACATCCGGCTCCCTGCTCTGCTGGGAAGCCTGCTTCTCCCTCTCCCACTCCCCCTGCTTATGTTCCCTCTCTGGCTGTCTATCAAATAAATAAATAAAATCTAAAAAAAAAAAAACAAAAAAAACCCAGCCAGTATGTACTCCTACTATGCGTGCCTCCTGCCATGCATCGTTTCCAGATATGCTAAATCGGTTTAACAACTCCCTTTTGAAAAACTTTGATCCATCCCTCCCCCACACCCTTTCATTTTCCAGCAGAAGAAACAGGCAGGCACGAAAGAGCAGAGCAGAAAGAAAGGCTAGATGGGGAAGGGGGCGTTCAGATTTCAACTCAACCCCCCACAGGCTGTGTGACCCGGGACAACTTACTTCCTGCCTCAGTTTCCCTGTCTGCACGAGTGGGCTAACAGCAGTGTGAGGACCGGGCACGGCCGTGCTCGGTGCCGCCCGCACCTCGCAAGCGCCAGTGGTGACCACAACGGCTCCTGGAGGAAATGTCCGGCCAAAGGCCACTCGGACAGCGAGGGACGGGGGAAGGCGCTGCCTAGCGCGGGGAGTACGCAGAGGTGCGGTTCCGGGGGAGTCTTAAGGCCGTTGTCACTGCAGCGATTTCCTGCACCCGGCGGACAGGTGAAGGGAGCCCCCCGCAGTGGGTGCACCCCCGCCCCGCGGGCTCCGCACCCCACCCCGCGCGCGCTCGGCGGCTCGCACGCTGGGCCCCCACGAGCGCTGCCCCACGAGGGCCCCGCCGTGGGCGGGGCGGGGCGGGGCTTTAGGGCAGGGGTCGGCGGGCCGCAGGGCTGAGGTGTGCTGCGGCGGAGCCGACGGCGGGGACGGCAGGAGGGTGTACCTTGCAGGAGCGCGCAGCACTGGCCGTCCGCGGTGCTCCACAGCCGGGCCGTGCCGTCCTCGCTGCCCGTCAGCAGGCGCTGCCCATCCGGGCTCAGGCTGAGCCAGTTGATGCCCCCGCGGTGGTCGGCGCAGACCCTCAGGGCCGACCCTCCGCCCCCCATGCGGCCGGCCGGGCGGGAGACGAGGAGGCTGCGCCCCGCTACGGAGGGGCGCCCCGGCATCCACGCGGCGGCTCTCGGCGGTGGCGTCCCGCGGCCATGACCCTGCGGGGCACGGGGTGCGGCGGAGGTGAGGCGGGGACCCTCGCTCCCGCGCCGCCCGCACAGCCTCCGGACCCGCGGACCGAGTGGGGGTGTGGGGGGCGGCGCTGCGGGGGACGGCCCGCGGGGACCTCCCGCTCCCGCTCCCGCCGTGGAGGAGACCCGCCCCCCCGGCGCCGGCTGCCTCCCTTCCCCACGCCCCACCTGAGCGGGCCGGTCCTCGGAGCCGGGACCCCCAGGCAGAGACGTCTCCCGCGCGCTGGAAGGCTCGGGCCTCGTCGCGGGGTCCGGCGGCGGGGGAACCCCGGCAAGCAGAGCGCCCTGCGGCCGGGCGCCGCGCGCTGGGGGCGGCGAGTGTGGAACAATACAGGCCAGCCTGGCTCCTCCTCAGAGACCACCCCCCAACCTGTCCCCTCCCACTTCCCCGGCCGGCGCCCCAGCCCCCACCCCGCTGCCGCACCCCGGCACCCGGCGCTCCGGACCCTCCTCGGCGCGCGGGCACAGCGCCCTCCCCGGGGACGCCGGGGACCCGCGCACGTGCGACTGTCCCCGCTGCCCCGTGCGGCGACCGAAGGCCGGGACGAGGCGGGGGAGGTGGACGCAGGGTCCGGTGGGGTGAGACGCGCACGCCCCGGAGCTGACTCGGGCTGGCGGCTGCGCGCCACTACCGGGCGAGTCTGTCCCGCTCCAGGCTCCCAGCCCTAAGGACGCTGCCAGAGAGGTTCTCGGGGGACTTTGGGGGTGGCCCCCTTGTTGCAGAGCGTTTCTAGTCCGCTCTCGCTGGGAAACTACACATGCGCCCCGATTCGCAAGTGGGGTGGCGGCGGGCGAGCGAGGGAAGAGCGGCGCAATGGGGCTTCCGGGAGAGGTCAGGTTCACCCTTGTGAGCGGCCGCGGGGTCCTAGGCGACCCGCTCCCGCAGTCCTCGTGCTGGGGGTTTGGGGCCCCCACCCACTGATCCATCTTTCGGGAACCTCTCCCCCCCCTTCGCATCCCAGCGCCTCTCACGGTCCACTGAGGTCTCAACGGGAATCCCACACCCTGGGTTGTGAGCCCTCCCGGAATGTCTGCTGGTTCCCATTAGAGCTGTTCCGGTGCCTGCTTCGCGGGGGGCGGGGAGGGGGTAACACCCCCCACACTTGGTTCCTCCAGGTCCTAAAGGGAGCAGGGTTTCCCGAGGGGCGGGGTGGAGGGGCGGCGAGGGGACAAGGTAGCTTTGGAAAGTCAGCCCTCATCGCCACAACCAGACCCTCTCCCAGTGGCTATGTCCAGACTCCCAAAGAAAACCCCATAATGGGGTCCCAAAGTTACATGGGACAATTTATTCTCCCAGGGTCTAAACCAGAGAAATGCACTCTTTCCCTAATCCTGGGAATCAGCTTGCAGTTAAGTTTAAGAAGCCGGCACCAGTGAAGGGTGTAAGGATGGGGCCCCGGATGCAGTGGGATTTGGAGTTGTGGAGGTGGCCTGAAAGGAGGCAGGAGGCGGGTGTGATCGTGCAGGAGAGAGGAAGTCGGAAACCGGTGAACTATTCTAGAGGTGGACTCTTCGGAAACTGGGAGCGTGCTGGCAGGAATGGACTCTGGGAGTCTGCACTATGCTAAGACAGAGTAGAGGGAGGCTGGTGACGTGTCCAGAGATGCACCTCCAGGCTGATCCTGAGTTCTTTTTAGGACCTGCGAACTTGAAAGTGCCATGGAAACATCTAGGTATGAGACCCATGGGCAGTTGGGCCATACAGGTGCTCAGAAGAAAATCCAAAGGAGACAGAAGACCCTTGCTCCAGGGGTGTCTGGTGGCTCCTTCCCTCAGGGTCCTGGTCTGATCCCTTTTACCCTCTCTGCCCCCAGGACAGGGTCCATTCAGACCTGACACAGGAAGTCCACACAATTTGTGAAGGGGAATTTCTGAGCTACCATTTGCTGTTGAAAAAAAGAAAGGGAAACATGTTTTCCCCTCCATTCCAGATTTCAGCCTTTACAAGGCAGACGGAGGACTATTTGGGACCAAGAGACCTTCCCAAGCCTCCCGACCTTTCACCGTACAGGCAACAACCCTGTCTGGCTTGTGGTTTCGGGCTAGCTCTGCTAACAGCTCCCGGCAAAGCTCTCCCTGAAACTAACCCACCCATTCCCACTGCTCCCCAGCTTTTTGCCTGCATCCTATAACGAAGAGGTAAAACCTGGTCTCTGTTTTTGCCAGCCCTGTCCTAACAGAAAGCAACGACTTACAGGGCTGGCAGAAATCTTTCCTACATATTTTCTCCTCCCCAAATACTAAACAAGAAATCCTACGCTGTCGGAGCTTTTATGTTATTTCACTATAATCCAGGGACAGTGATAAGGCAGGCACAATTACACATTGTGTAATAACATTTAACTTCCACGGCAATTTCTCGTATTAAATACTCTCTTTTTGATCTTGCTGAGGAGGACAATGAGGCCTAAGGAGGGTGAGTAGACAGTCGCTCAGTGTGGGGGACATTCAGGTCTAAATGATCCGTCTGCACAAATGCAAGAAAATTAGTGGCTTGAGAGGAGCAGGGGCATCCCTCTGCGCCTAAGACACAAAAGGCTTGTGGCAATTTCTTTCCCTCCAATCCCACTAATTTTCCTGGGAAGAAATCTCAGGCAAAGGTCTGGCAAGAGGGCTTTTCCCTGAATATCCTGATGATGATCTGTGGGCACCTTGCTAAGTGCATTTCTCTGTGGATGGAGATGAGCGAGCCGGCACCCCGTCTCTTGCTCCCTACAGAGATCTCAGACATGCTGGCTTGTGGGCACCCTCTCGCCAGTGACTTTTATTCTATTCTCATCGGACCCAACAAGGCATCCTGGTTGGAGTGTGTCCATGAGTGTGTGTGTGTGTGTGTGTGTGTGTATGTGTATGTGTGCGTGAGAGAGAGACTAGGAGGGACAACCAGGGAGGCTGGTTTAGCAGCATCTGCTTTCACTCATTCCAGAAGATTTCTAGCTGCCCACAAAATGATGCATTTGCTTGTCCTCTACAAGGATTCTGAAGCCAAGTTTAATTCGCACTGGAGTTGTTAATCCTACTATGGGTATTGTACACGAACTTTGTGTGTTTCAGAGTGAAAGCCAGGGCCGGCTGCGCCACTGACTGTCTGCGTGCCTTTCTTTTGCTGGGAGCGGAAACGAGGAGCAAGCCGGTGTCAGTCGGGATTCTTCGTGGCGTAAGAAACTGAAGTCAGCAAACTGGCAGGAGAAGGGGATTTATCAGAAGGGTATCAAGCGAAGGAAGAGAGGAGTATCCAGATTAGAGGAAAGAAACAGGGACAGGCGGGGCTCTCAGCAGCCGGAACTCATGGAATGGGTCCGTGGGATGCTGCTACGAGTTGACCTTGGCTCCAGCTTTGTTCCCGGTGTGATCTGGCACCAGATTTCACTTTCAAGGAGAGAAAAGTTAACAGCCTACACTGAGCTTAATTCCACTGTGAGCAGCGCCCCTTGACCTCCGCCTCATCCGCACCAGCCATGGTTCCCCAAGTCACCGCAGTCTTCCTTTTGGCTGCCCAGCGCTCACACACAAACACCCTTCTTTCCGCAGTCACAGTCCCCAACGCCCTGCTTCACACTGACTGCCCCATGTGAACCACGCACGCACGGCCCCGTCCCCAACACGGGACAATGCACCCGGCTCTGAAGTGACATGATAGGGTGGCCGGTCTCTGAGTCCAAGAACTCTGAGTACATTCATGTCTCAACCACATACTGTCTTAATATCCTCCAACCTGTGGATGAAATAAAATCAAACACCAAAAGCCTATATCACCTACAAACAGAAGAACGTTTTTAAAGATGTATGTGACCCAGCAAGCAAAAAGAAAAGACAGAGGCTGCCATTCTTGTTTCTAGAACTGACATATGTGCCAGCTGTCCCCATGACCCATTGCTGGTCCCCTAGTTTCTGGGTCCTATCTCTGCCAGGTGACATTGTGGATACCCTAAACTTTATTCCCCATAAGTAGTGTGTACTGAGCACTTAGAATATGCTGGAACGTGTTACAAGTGCTTTATAGGTCTTATTTCATTATCCTCAGAATAACTTTTTTTTTTTTTTTAAAGTAGGGTTTGAACTCACAACTCTGAGCTCAAGATTTGCAGGCTCTCCCAACAAGCCAGTCAGGTGCCCCTTCCTAATAACCTCTTGAAGAGGTCCTATTTACATCCCATCTTATCACAGACAAATGGAGACACAGAGACATTAGGTAACTCTCCCAGGCTTCCCCAGCTAGCAGAGCAGAGGCTGGACTGGAGCCCAGGCCTCTGTTGGTTAAGTGTCTTCTTTGCGCTCAGGTCCCCTGCTCAGCAGGGAGTCTGCTTCTCCCTCTGCCCCTCCCCCAGCTCCTGCTGTCTGTCTCTCTCAAATAAATAAAATCTTTTTTTTAAAAGAAGTTTAAGTATTGGGGCACCTGGGTGACTCAGTGGGTTAAGCCTCTGCCTTCGACTCAGGTCATGATCTCAGGGTCCTGGGATCGAGCCCCGCATCGGGCTCCCTGCTCAGCGGGGAGCCTGCTTCTCCCTCTCTTTCTCTGCCTGCCTCTCTGCCTACTTGTGATCTCTGCCTGTCAAATAAATAAATAAAATCTTTAAAAAAAAAAAAGAAGTTTAAGTATTTATTTACCTTCCCCCTGCATCTTTTATCTAAGGAAATGACCCAAGGTCCAACTTTTAAAAAACTAGCAAGAAGTTGTGGCAGGCGTCTTCCTCCAGGTGAGTGGTCCTCCCACTCCACGAAGTACCAGATTCTGGGAATTGTGCGATTCTCTCACATGTTGGCCCAAAACAGTCCTCTCTTCACCTTCCTGACCCTGCAGATCAAGGGCGACTTCAGAGGATTGCTTACGGATGTAACGCCAGGAGATCCCTGTTAATAACCCCGAGCCTGAGATCTTGGAAGGTGACAGGGCTCCCAGGAAACCAAGCTCCTCCGCACCTGCC